AAAAAAAAAAAAAAAAAAAGAGGATTGAATATCTCTGAGGGGGTGAAAGTTTGTTGAATGTGAATGAAGATCAGAAATTTTAAGAGCAAAGCGACCAAAATACAAAAAAAAATAAAAATAAAAATAGTAACTAAATGGAATAAGGGAGAAAATACATACTGGCTGGAGGCATGGTGAAGTCGGTTGTAGTCGAGAAAAAAAACAGTTGGCGACGATAGGATAGCGGCGGCAGAAAGAAATGATTGCACAAAGTATATTACAGGAGAATTTCTGTAGAATGTAAGACTTGAAATGAGGGCATGCTTTATATAAGAAAACTAAAGAAGGCGAAGAGTCGATTCGAGCACAACCGTTAGATGCAGGTTGATATGGACGACCCAGATTTTTGAAGTTGAGAAGGCAAAAGAGTGGTAGAGTACAACCATTGAATTAAGGTCCAAATGAGTTGTTGAGAATGAATAGAGGAGTTGAAAGGGCAGGTATCCAAGAACCGTTGGATTAAAGGTATATCATGCAGATAGGATGAAAACAACATTTATGGGCGTACTATACGAGGACAACACGGACTGAAAGGAGGTTACGTTGGGAGGACATGTTCACCTGACAAAATATCAGAAATTTGAAATTCAAATCTAGAATTCGAGAAAGACAACTACAGGTCTTGAAGATTTTCTTGATTAAATGAAAAACGTGAGTGAGGAGGTCAATTAGATAAGTTACGAGCTTAGTAACCGGGACCAAAGACAACTGAAGTTACTCTTAGATCGAGTTATCGGTTATCCTAACCATACAAGAGTGGAGGAGACCAGAAGATATGGGATAGTATACTAGGTAGATTTCATCCGAGAAGCTATATAACAAAAGCATGTGAACTGCCAGGTCGTTAGGAGATCGAAGATGCAGGAGGTCGAAGAGGCATCAGGTCGATGGTGACGCTGCTTGCAAAGAATATCACCGACAGGTTGAGCTAAGGCCCTTGGATGGCCTCGTAGAAACTCGACCTGGGGGTGTGCATGTCGATGCATCGACTTGAAAGATAATACGAGTAACAAAAAGGTAATCCAACTCAAGGAAGGTCAAGTCGGTCGTATGATTAGACTGTCTAATAAGGTAGACCAGTGGTAAGAAAGAGTTTCACTAAGATAAGAACTACACGTGGCCAAGCAGAATGGGGCAGTTTGGGTACTTGGGCAGTAAAAACGAGTAGTTATGGCACTCGTACAGCCCGCAACAAAATACAACCCCTATATAAAAAGGGTGGGGTATGAAAATCTAAACTCTACATACTCAAAGCAGTGTTAAAAACTCTTGAGGGAGAGCTTTGCCGCCCTTGTGGTCCTACCCGACTCGATTTCGGATTAGTCGGTTCCCCTGTGGATCCGGAAAACGGAAGGTTCCTGTACCAAAAAAAAAAAGAAAATATACTCTCAAGCTAATATATCTACTGTTCATCGTCTTCATCTTGAGCAATGTGGACTGACTTAATCGTCACAGTGCTAACGTCGGGAGCATCTTGCGGCCCATTTTGCAAGTTTAGGTCAGTGAACCAGTCAAGAAGCAGATCCAGTCGTTCGAGCACGATCAAAATCTTTTTACACACCAGATTGTTTTTAATTAACCACCAAGTTTATTATATGCAAATATATTTAATATCTTAAAAAAATAATTTGTTATAGGCAAATAGCTTACACACGGGAATGCATTTTAAAAGACTCTAATACTTCAATTTTAACCCGAATTTAGAAACATGAGAAACAAGACAATCAAGGTTTGCCACCACAACGTACAGGCTTGAAGGATAGCATCCCTTTCCGGAGATTGTAACCCACCAGGAAGTTCGTTTGCGCCCGGTTACCATAAATGGGAAACCCCTGTGCCGGCAAGGCCACCAGACAGAGCGACACGTCGCCTGTCCTCGCAAACAAATTCTCCTGCCCCCACTTCACGTCGGCCCCCTTGAAGTGCACCGTGACCTCTGGAAGCCCCACCTTGCTCCCGCGTGTCTCAAAGCATAGGTCAAGCGTCCCAGTGGGGTCCGGTATCTGCCTCAGCCGAACCATCCCCTGCAACGTCTTCTTTAGCCCCTCGTACAGACTCCCGGGGAGCAACGTCACCGTCGTCCCCGAGTCAATGATAATATTCCCGCCATTGGACGACGATGAGCCCTCGTTGAATGCCAGCCTCCGGCTCCCGACACTGATCCCCAACATCGTCAGGTAGTAGAAGGTGTCAATCCCCTGGCGCACCAACGGGGTCTGCACGGCCCTGGGCCCCCTGACCTCGGCATCCGCCCCGAAGCTCAGTCTGCTGCTCGACCTCGAATTTTCGGATGCCAGGCAGTACGAGAATCTCCCTCCCGCCAGCCGGCCCAGCTGGCCCACGAGCGACGCCTTCCCACCCCCAAGACCCACGATGCCCGACTCGACCCCGCTGAAGATCCCCGCATTCCGGTGCCCGCACCCAACCACAACGCCGGGGACCGAAACAGCCGTTCCGCCAGACGAGGCCAGCGTGACCGTGTCAGTCGAGAGGTCCCCCTCTGTGTATGACCCGTCGCCGTACATCTGTG